AGGTAATTCACTGACTGAATCAGGTGTGTTAGAGAAGGAAAAAAGTAAAACATGCAGGGCTGCGGACCTCGAGGACCAGGTTTGACTTTTATACTGTTAACGACTTCAAACAGGTGCCATTAATACAGGTAATGAGTGGGGGAAAGAGGAGCCTCTTAAAAAAGAAGTTACAGGTCTGTGACAGCCAGAAATCTTGCTTGTTTGTAGGTGACCAAATACTTATTTTCCACCATTATTTGCAAAAAAAAATTCTTTAAAAGTCAGACAAAATGATTTTCTCAAAAAAAATTTTCACATTTTGTCTCTCATAGTTAGGTCTACCTATGATGTCAATTACAGGCCTCTCTCATCTTTTTAAGTGGGAGAACTTGCACAACTGGCGACTGACTAAATACTTATTTTCCCTACTGTATATCTTGTGCCACTATATGTTGCAGTTGACAAAACTTTTACAATTGCTCTTTTGACACTTTCAAACGGCACATAAATGTATACATAGTTCCTCAGTGAAGCATGAAAAGTTGGAACGTTGCTCATGACAAACACTTGTAGAAGTCCATCTTGGGAGTCTAAATGCATCCTGATAGGCTGTTATTTCCTCACTTCTGCTTTACTGTAGTTACACCACAGAAGAGCCGTATATAAGGAAGTGCAATATGCTCGAAAAAAGGGACACATTAACCACATCTGTTACATCAGCTTGCGTGTACAACTCACAACACTGTCGCTTTACATCATCACCACAAAAATCACTTCTCAGAATATGACCTAAATATTTCRCTTTACTCACAACGTCCAAAACTTGATTTGCTAAATAAAAAGAAGGGAAATTTGTCTTCTGATCCTCCKTTGTTGTAAGTAAGTAAGGTTTTATTTATAAAGCGCCTTTCACAGAAATATATTCACAAGGTGCTGTACAGTCATGAACAGTATAAAAATGGTGGAAAGAATAAAATGAAACAGAAAAACATAACTGCACATAAGCGACGAAAAATTGAAACATCAAATCAAGAAAATAATTTCAAAAATTGTAAATCAATCATAACGTTCCTTTTAGAATTAAACATGATGGTCACYACATTTAGCACAGACCCTGAGCAACTGCTGCAAGCCAGCGCTGTAAGGACAGAAAAGGACCAAATCATCTGCATACATTAAGTGATTTACAAGCTGGTTACCCACCATACAGCCAGCTTTACAAGATAAAAGTTAGAGGACAGGAGACGCCATTAGATACAGAAAAAGCTTCAGAAACCTCTGAACCCCACTTCACTTTTTTGTAGATTGATGAGAATACCAATAATGTAAAATCCTGATTAAATATGCAGGGAGTGCTTAAAAACAACTTATGATGGTTAACTCTATCAAAAGCTTTAGACGTCTCTAAAAACACATGAAAACATAAGTGTTCAGTCTTTATAAATAAAATGGGCGGCTCTTTTTGGCCAGTGAGAACAGACTCACCCCTTTTCAGAACATTTTAGAATAAATTTATCTCCTTGTAATTGCAGATATAAATGCATATATATTTTTTTATTTTTATTCTGCTTCTTTCCCAAAACACATGACGGGACTATTTTAGTTGCAGCAGCTCAGTTTGTTTGAAATGGGACAAATGCCCACAGACATGTTTGGATGGGATTCCAGAAATTTGGGATTAAATGTGAACTCCCAGCTTCTTGGAGGTGCCGTGAAGATGAGACTGGCTTTAAAAGCAAACTCACAGTTTTTTGTTGGTGATGGGTTTTCTGATTGCATCATCACTTCATCTTAAAACCAGTGACTAATTATTTTTTGCGATTTTATTCTATTTTTTGC